AATTCAACATTTCATGAGTATGTCATACATTTAGATGTTTCTCAATTATTTGATATTTTGACAGCATAGGGAGATGCTGATGCATGCCTCGTTATGTTTTCCTATTGGCTAAGGACATTCTTGGAAGACAATTTACAATTGTCTTCAGATCCTCATTTAATTATATAGTAAGGATACATGCTTATTTACAGGTTTAAGCCCTTTGGAATAGAGAAACAGATAAAATAATATACCTATAGCCTTACCCTCATTTGATAAAAAGAATTATATGCTGTCTCAGAAGAAATTGGACTTTTTTTCCTATATATAATGTCATTTTCCTGCTTTTAAGTATTTATAGTTAAGTGGGAGAAAAAAATGGACTGCCAAAAAATATCTCACCTAATATATACAAATAATATAATTCAAATAATACAATCACAGAAAATTGGGAATCACACCCTAACTCCTTCTGTAGCTGCCTGAATTAAGCAGTGGTCACCCTGCAGGTAAGCATCACAAAGTCCAGCAGTAGTTTTAGCAGGATTAAATCAGCCATTGATATAAACAGCACTGCAGCATTGTCTTGAGGTTCAGCAGCAAAAATAATAAGGTGTGATATAATAATGTGGGGGTAATGGATCATTTCTTGAAATTTTTGCTTTTAACATAACCATTTAAAAATCAACAAATTGAGGAAACATAATGGAACAGAATATAACGCATGAATCCAAGTTCATTAAATTAATGCATTTTTTGAAAAACAAACTATGACAGAACATTTCATTATTGACGCAGATATGAGAAAAAGTGTTACACTGCTATTTAGTATGTGTCTTGTGTGTCGTGGAATTGAAATATTTCCAAATCATCAATAATTAAAATGATGAGAATCCATCATTTCACTGACATTTACTTCTACATAAAAAGATGGCCTATTTTAAATGTGCTCACACATATTCTTGTCAATCACAAGCTGTCACAGCAAATTATTTCATTTTGCAGATCACATGACAACAGAAAATCTCTAGGTTTAAATTTAGATCTTAGGTGTAGTATCAAGAACTCTTTTCACAGATTTTTTTTTTCTTTGACTACATCTTCACAATACAGAATATAAAAGATATAAAATCCTACTCAGAATATTCACTTTCACTTTTGGGTAAGAAAACCCAGGGCTGAAATTAATAACTGTAAATGATAACTATGAAAGCCAAATAGAATAGCATACATAAAAAAGAATGGTAATATAAAACTAAAAAAAATTTTAAAACAATCAGAGCTCCATGCGCTGGAATTTTAAACTAATGAATTAAGTCCAAATATTTTTTTTTTGCCCCATATTTTTTAAGACAGTTAGGCATTTACAGGGCATGAGCCATTTTTTATGCTATGCTTGTCTCACCCATAGCTCCTAGTAATTATAAAGGAGCTGAACTTTTACAAACCCCCTGGAGCTGATGCAAGAATTTTCACTGTGCCACTATGAAACACAAGATTTAGGAAACTGAGTAAAACCTAAATCACAGGTCTATAATTCTGAAAACTTTTTAAATGACTGCAAAAAAGTCATTAACTCTATCTTTACAATTCTAGAGAACCATTAATATATTTTAGACTCTTCAATGCCAGAATTACAAGACCTAATAAGATCTTGTTTTAATCAATAGTCTTTATAAAAAATATTTCTATTTTCGGGCCTCCCCGGTGGTGCAGCGGTTGAACGCTGGGTTACAAAGCTGCCTGCAGCCTCTGCAGCGCCGGTTCGATCCCTGGCCGCTGGGCGAGAGTCCCACATGGCGCATAGACCTCTCCTGCTGCCCACTGCTCCCCTCAGCAGTGTACCTCGGACCTTCTGCCTGTTCTGCTCCCTGCTCTGGCTCTGGTGAATTCTCTCACCCTCCCGCACTTCTGACTGTACCCAGTTCTTGTATAAATAAATAAATCTTTAAAAAAAATTTCTATTTTCCCCATACATATTTAATGTTTCTATTTAAGCAGTCAACTTCAAAATATAATTATTCTAATATTGCATTTCCAAAGTGAATGCTTCAAGTCAGTCTTGACCTTGGCCTGACCTCTATATGAACACTTTGTGTTTTGAGGTATGAGATGAATAGCTCTCTCACTTTCTATTAAGTCCAGTGCCAGTGGTGATACTCAGAAGGAGTGGTACTCAGAAGGAGTGGTAAAACAGTTGAAAATCACAGATATTTTGTAGGACTTTTCCTATCTCATCAAATGTGGAAACAATTCCAAAGTAATTTTCACTATCTATACTCCCTCTCGAAAGAATAAGACTAAAGTGCAAAAATACAATTGCCAAAATATACACGATTTATTTGACCTTCCTGAGTCTGAAGTAAATTTTCCTTTGGAGGATGGATTTGGTTTATATTTTTGACTAGTGTTTTCACTTTTAAGAACTACAGCATTCACCCTGTTTAAACTCTAGAAAGACTAGGACTTCTCTCACTATGCCAGGACCAGGAACAGAGTAGATATTTAATATAAATATGTATTGGTTTAAATTTAGATTGAATTGAATTGAATGGAGTTTAAAATCATATGATGAAAGAAGTCAGACCATGAACCCCATTTTTTATCTGTCTCTGATATGGCATTTTACCTGCCATGTAATGTAGATTCTCAATGAATGGTAAATGAATGAAAATCAGCACATTAAAATAATGACCAATTACTGATTCTAATATCTGTTGGCTAATGTATATAACATATTCAGGCTCATTTACAATGAAACAGAGTACACCCAATTCTACCAACTTTTTTTGCCTTATTTACCTTTACAATATTCAATTTTATAACTTCTGAGAGTTATTCCTTACTCTAAATTCATCTACCACCTTCAAAGCTATTCATACATGTTTTATTTTTATGGAATATTTGTGACAAGTTGAAAAAGTATTGATTTATCCATAAACACATGCAAGAAAGGTAATGTTAACCTGACTTCAAAAGGTATACGTGAATATATGGGTGATATATATAATCTCCCCATGTTCCTCTTAATATCTAAATCATGTTAAAGGTTATGATATACATGTAAACACTTATGTACATTCATCTTCTTAATGTTCTGAAAGAAACCAAGTATCAGTCTTTAGGCTTATCTCTCAGCTTAACATAGACAAGTGGCTTTTTCCCCCATTATACTTATCCTAAGTCTTTTTAATGGACATGTGATATGCTAGGCTGTGTCCAAGCTCACCTACAATTTCTTTTCTCAAAAGACAAGGCACATCTGCCACCTGCTCTACTCCGTGTCCCAGCAACAACTGTCGAGCAGCATAAAGATTGATTATCAGTCAAAAACCATTGCACAACACCAGATTTTGGTGGGTTAAGCTTGCTGATCCAGCAAGAGATGGTGTGAAATTTTCAGGAGTGTGTGCCAACATTTTGGTGCTAAAAGAACAGCAGTGCATGTCACAATGAAACACAGCCAAAGATATGCAGACAAAGCAGAGAAGTTTTTTTGTTCTGGACTTGGCTTTAAAAAGGACAAAAGAGAAGACCAAAGTAGGAGGAAATTAGTTTGTACATTAAAAAATCATCCACTAAGCTTAGTCATGTGTATAAAATTGTTATTTTAAGCATATATGTCCAGGAGATTTTCTAAGAAGCACAATTATTGTTTATTTATCTCTTTTACAACACCATTATCACATGAAAGGCAAGTATTTCTTATTAATAAAAATAATCAAGGATCTTAATGAAGTACTCATTAGATAAATATCTGAATATAAAAAACTCATAGAAATATTTACCCACAAAGACCCATGCTTTTATACAAGTAGATGATTCAAAGAATATAAAATAAAAGCAATCATATTTTAAAGTTAAAGTAAAATTTGAAAAAGAATAAATGGGTCTACACTATCCCCTAGGCTGTTTTTACTGAGTATTGCAGCAACAAGTTTCTTTACAAGGATGAAATTATCTTGAATTTCCTTTTGATTTCAGTAAGCTATTTATTTCCTGATAATCAAGTAATATCAAAGGAATAGAAATCCTGTATAATTTCATATAATAACATTAATAAAAGAAGAATTTTCATCACCTCATCTGTAATGAACTCCAGAATTACTTTTCCTCTACTTATGCAATTACTGCCTAGACTTGCCTTTGATTCACCAGCTTTATAGCAGTTGCAAAAAAAAAAAAATTCTAGTAAAATATAAAAAACATAGGAGCATACAGTAGTTAGACATGCTGAATTTTTATGGCAAAGTTCTTATGTCATTTGAATGTGATTAACATACACAACACTTGATAACAGACTCTGGGTAGGACATGCTTAAAATAATATGCTTAGATAGTAACGGTACTTTTATTTTTCTATTAAAATATTTTTCCCAGTAAAGAAAATGTTATTTTTTATTTTAGAAAATCTCCACATTTCTGTAATGTTAGACAATGGTCTAAAAAAAGACCTTACCCACAAATCTGTCTTACAATACATACATACATTACAAAATAAAAATTATTAAGCAGCAGCATTTATCTTATAAAAAAATTTAGGAAAATCACAGGTATGTAAGAATTATATGTTCATTACTGGCCACATTTTCAAAATTATGTTAATGCATCTGAAAAAACGATCAACAGTGTAAATGAAGAAATGATACTTGAAACTTCAAACTATTTTCTGAGAGAATAAATCTAATGAATTAAGTCTGTTGGGTGTCACAGAAACTAAACAGTAAATTCAATAATCTCTGATTTAATTTATTATATTTTCACCATTTAACCTCCTGCAGGCTCCCTAATGTCTATTCAGATCTATATTAAATTAAGCACCAATGCTAATGAAGGGCAATAAACGTGGCTGTCAGTGGATTTTTCTTTCATTAAGCACATTATCCTCTTACTGAGCTGTAAATGCGTAAACATTAGTTTTGTTAAACCATGCAAAAAAGACAGGATGAAAATCATTTTTCAATTGCACCCCTTAAGCAATTTACTGTGTGGGGGTAGGGTAATTTTTTTCTCTTTTTTACCTTTAATTTTTTTGAATGGATCTAAAAAGGGCTCTCCTGCAGAAACATAAATGTCGGCTTCATGGGGTATATCTTCAGGTTCGAGGGCTTCTGTGCCGTCTGCCAAGAACACTCGTCGTGCGGCCATGTTCAGATTCAGCTTTTCTGTGCACTCCTCCAGCAACTAGAAGAAAACAAGAGGTAAGAGACAGTGATTTAGGACAATAAAAGTAACACATTTCCATGAAACAAAAGGTGCTAATGATCAACATAGTAACCATCCAGTCACTTGCCAAGTTAAGTAACTCAAGTAACTTGGCCAAAATAATTATTTTCTAGCAGTTGAAAATACAAATAAAATTTAAATTATAGCACCAAGAATATCTAATGATTTTCTAATTTTAGTGTTTAAATGTTCAGTCAGTATAATAACTACAAGACAGAAAGCTATTTTGTCTGTTTATTCAAGCATAATTCTTATGCATTGATTTAAAAAAGAAAAGTAATGAAAAGCTGTGAAATTTATGTATATGTGGGTAATTTAAAGATTTATATTACTGAAAAAAGATTAACAACATATTTTTCATTTTTTATATGATAAAGAGAGTAAGAGAAGAAATACAGTACTGAAAACTTCTGAACACAAGTTACCAAGGTGATGGTTGATACAGTAACTTTGGCAAAGACTGTTCTAGATCCATTTTTGTAAGCTGTTGCTCTAATCACTCTTGGTTGAAGTTTGTGTCTTTGAGACAATTTATGCCAATTCTGGGCTGACAGGGATTTTAAAGACGAGATTTTCTTAAGTCTAAAGAAAAAAAAATCACAAAAATTGGTGCACATTAATTAGTAAAAACATTAGATAAATATCCTGGATATTTTTACAGATAGAAGACTGAATGATTGTTCCTGTGTATATAAATACTCCTTAAAATAACTTCTTAGCATAAGATTGCTCTACCCATGTAAATATTTAAAAATAATTAAAAACAGTTAATCCAAAATAGTCATATAAGACACATATGTCAGAATAAACCATTTTCATCATTTTATTTATAAAATATCATAACATTCATTTTAAAATTGCATGTATACTTACTATGTTCTGATAGAAAGCAAAAAATAGCAATATGTTTTTTAATGTCATGAAATAGTAAATAGTTAATATTTTCTATAAGGTTATCATGTTTATCAAAGTTTTTTATCTTTTAAAAAAGACCTGAAATATATATAGATTATAACTAAATTTTTTTATTGTAAAGTTAATTTAAATTGCTTTCATTTAAAATTGCTTGGGGGAAGCAAAAGATTTCTAAGTTTGTCTTTAGTCAAAAACAGTTTTAATTCTCAATATTTTCCATGCTAAAGTACATGATAAATGACTAATATAAAAATTTTGACTTTAGTGTTCTCTAGCCCTGTTAATTATTAATGCCACAGAAGCAAACATTTTGAAATAAAAACTTTACATAAATGAAAATCACAATATGTTCATCAATTCAAATAAAAAAATAATGGAAGTACCAGTTTATTCGTTTTTTTGTTTTTACCAACAATTTCTGCCTTCCATAAACAAAACAATAACAGTTTCAATATGAAAACATACACACAAAATGGTTCTACAATAAACTCATTTCAATTTGATTTTTGTTTTTAAATATTGGTTCACTATCAAAAGTATACATTTATAGCTCAAAATACATATCCATTAGCCAAAAATATGTCATGATCCTAGTTTGATTCTGGCTTTGATATTCTTTTCAGTGTTCCCTATTATCCAGGTTGAAGTGTATCTCATGTTTTCCACAAGTGTAATTAGCAGCATTCTACTTCAGTGCTTTCATAGGAAAAAAAATAAACAAAACAAAAACAGAAACAAAACCCTAGAGATGTGTTACATGTTAATGTCTGAAATAGTCAACTGAATCATTATAAATTCTGCTTAAAGGAAAGAGCTTCAACAGTCAGTTAAAAAGAACAGAGAACAGCTTTGATTACCTCAGTTGACCCACAGGAGCACTGACAGGTCTGTTTCTCTTGGATGATGATATAAAACAAGAATTGTTTTTACTGTTTGATTTGTAGCTGTCTAGGTCTGATTTTTCATCATGGCTGTGATCTGATGCTGTTTGATGTGTGGAACAATCTTGAAGTCCTGACCCTTCTGATATTGCCGCTGAATGCAAAAGTCTGTTGGGGCCAAACTGAGGCTGCAAGTAATCTTCAGTAGTTTTAATAACTGCTTTTGCCTGGGATGACTTAAATTCCCTGGGAAAAAAAATAACAATGCATGGAGAATACAGGAAACTGGTTTGTAATCACTTATTAACTACAGTATACTAACAAATTGTATGCTGTATGCTAGAAAACAATACTATACACTTAGTCTTTACCTTGTTTAATCCTTACAATACTCCTGGGAAGTGGGGGGAAAAAACAACTCTTTTTATCCCATTTTACAGATTTAAGATACTAAGCCTCAGAGAGGCTAATTAACTTGCTCAAACTCACATAGTAAGTAAACAGAATGGAAAATTGAAACAAGCCTATCCTAAAATAAAACCATTAAACTTAACTGTTCTACTTTTTAAAGAAGAAAGCTTGTGTAATGCTTGAAATAATGTAAGTAAACATTTTAATTCATTGAGTAGGTATAAATTTTAAATACAAAAAGAATTCATTGAAGGTAAACTTAGTGTGACTCGAATAAAGTTGGTAAGGGCTTAACAGCAGAGGTGGGATTAGGGTAAATGACTCATATTAGTTTGCTCAGGACTGACCTAGCTTTGGTATTTAAAGTCACTCCTCCTGAGAAGTCCTACCATCTCACACAAACCAGGACTATTGGTCACCCTACCTTCTATAAAGCTGGAGTAGTATTTAAATGAACTATTTATTGGTATAATAAAGTGAAAGAAGTTTTAACATATTTGAGAATGTTGAGCTATGTGATCATTAGGTATAAAGAAGAGTCAGTATCCATGTATTACTGGACCTGGGACTATTTTTATACAAAGCAAATCTATCTCTTTCCAATTAGCTAGTTCCCAATTATAAAATAATGTAAGCTTAGTACAGTAAGCTTGGCACAGACAATACCTTCCCTAAGTTTTTTTCAAATGTCATTATAATCAAAATTATATCGTCTAGCCTGCCCTTCTCATTTCACAAATGTGTAAAACTTGCATAAAATGCCTGTTTCCTCTGAAAGAGGGAAAGGTAGTCACATGCTACAGGGAAGACTGTGTGTGTGTGTGTGTGTGTGTGCACGTGCACGTGCTGACCCAGGAGGTAAAATACTGAGATCCCAGCAAATGCAGTTTGTTATTATTGTTATCATCACTTGTTTCTATGCAAGCCAGCCTTCCACTGAGCACAGACAGCACTGGGGAGAAGAGTGGCCATTTCTACAATCTGAGGCTCTACCCAGGTTCAAAACAGTGGCAAACAGTGTCTTGAATAGATCACTAGACTTTAGATTTTGTAAATGTGGACTTCCCTACAGAACATCTGAGCTACTCAGAATTTGAGGGCTGTGGTATGTGACAGTATTCATGTCACGGTGGCAGTGCTTCTGCAGCAACAGCAATGGAGCTGTAAATGGTCACCACGTTCATCCACCTGGAGGAAGGGCAGTGAACAGCCAGAAGGAAAGATATGCAAATCTCATAAACAGTTCCATAAATAGTTACTTAGGGAACAAATTCTCATGTAAAGACAAAAAGGAATTATTTATTTAAATGCAGAATGCAGTTTCTTTTTTTAATGAATACATTTTGTTTATTGTCAAATATTTGACAAATATAACTTTATGCAATAATCCATATACTACCACCACAAAGTGAAAGGTCATTATCTTTCCATATTTCAAAGTTTCAATCATGTACCTTCAATTTAATACATTGTTTTTTTTTCTTTTTTTTTTTTTTTTATGGAGCCCACCAGACCTTGCTTGCTAATCTGCCTTTCTAATTCTTTTGATGGGGCCCACCCAACCTTGTTCTCTAATCTGCCTTTCTGGTTCTTGTTATGGCCTTTACTTTGTCTTTTTAATTTAAGTTTTAAGCCATTTTCCTAGGTTGCTATATATGGCCTTTATAGATTTCACTAGAATGTAATATTTTATCAAGTATATATTGCCTTTCCCAACCTAACTAAGCAGGGGTTGCTCTTTGTTTTTACCGATGTATCTTTTGTTTTCTGGCAACAGCACTGAATCCTTTTGGGAAACTCTCTCCCTTTCCCTCCCCCAACTCCAATGATTCTGATAGGATTAAGACAATAAATTATGTGAGATTTGCCTGGTAAATGGTAAAAAAGATTGAATTGTGTTTCTGGCTTTATTTCATAAACTTTGATGACCAGTATGTACTAGTTCTTATATTCTTCTTACAACAAATGATGTGTTTCCTAGCTATTAGATGTGTGAAAGGACAGTCACAGAACATGGTAAAGCTAACTTGTCTCACATGGGAATTAAACAAACTCTTTAAATTAAAATAATATTGGAACTAAAGATGCTAGGGTAGTTCAGCTTGTGGGGAACAAACATACATTTGAATTTCAGGTGATAGAACTTATTACCAGGATATAGAGAAAGCCAAGGAAATAAAAGCACTCCAGCAGAGCACAAAGAAAATCACAAACTCATTCACTGCTCTCCAGGATATGCAATGATTTCATAACAATGCTAAGAGACTGCTATGTGTTTTGACTCCGCAAATTCATCTCTCCTTCTGTGGTTTCCTGCTTCCTCTTCCTACATCATTATGGCCAAAGCTTCCTCTAACCTCCTCACTTCTCATGGCTTCTACTAACAACTTCCCTTAACGTATTTCCACATTGCTATTCCACGCTACTGTGGAATATGATTGCCTTTATGATACTGTCTTTGTGATTCTGTCTTTATGATTCACATTCATTTCCCCAAAAACTAATTTCATTATATCCAGTACCAGATACCCATGTGGATAGAACCTTCAAGCTAAGTGATACAAGACACTGCAAACCTGTGGATGAAAAAATACACATTAATGTTCCAAAAGCTATGGATGAGGCAGTAGAATGATGTTCAGAGGAGACAAGGTAAGGTGGGCTCTTTAATATCTCCCAAAACTGAAAAACATTAGGCAGGGACCTTGCAAGACTTTTATTAGTATACTAATACTGAGATAAGTAGAGACACTATATATAGATTGAGAAAACACTAAAGGACATTACACAATTTAAATCACTACCAGAAGTCTTTTACACTACATAGCCTATCTACTACTCACAGACTATTCTGATTTTCTGCTTATTTTAATATTAGTCACACATCTAATCAGAAAGAAACATAAGAATATATCATTGTGATTGTAAGCCCAGTCTTTGGACTAGTTGGCCCAGTAGTTGGCTGTCAATGTTGGCCCGAAGACATACAGGTTACATGGTAGGATGGTGCTCTTTGATGCAAAAAAATACCAACATGATAATTTTAACCCCATCATAATAATAAGATCCAAATATTCTATTTTCTGGAAATGGGATTACTTAAATTTAAATTTTCTCATTATTCAATACTGAGGAAATTTAGACAAATTATACAACAGATTCTGATGGCAAATCCAAAGAGAAACTTTAAGAAAAAATATTTTGAGAACAAATTACTTCCTAAATTGGATATTTTAAAGAGGGAAGGAAAAATGGATTAACTTGAATGTGTGTTCTAGTATTTTCTTTTTTAAAAACTACATTTCTGAATTAGTTTATTATCAGTATCAGGTCTATCTTAGCAATTTGAATAATTCTTTAGAAATTAGGTCATATAAAGGACAAGAGGAAATATAGTTATGGGTGTCTATATCTATATGAAATATGTAAATATTTAAGAATTGCATGTGTTTAGGGGGAGATAAAGTAAAATATGCCAAAATCAGTTAATTAGAAACTATAAAACATTAGATAAATGAATCTTTTCAACAAATTTCTACCGATAATAAAATGACTGTAAATGGAAGGTAAATCAAAAGATTAAGCTTTTCTGGTTTTCTCCAATAGTACTATATACCTTGTCTACACTTGGCTTCATATTACAATCAACAGTATTATCAGGGATAGGTCTTATACATTATAGAATTTTGAAACTCCTTTATATCCCAAGCTAGTATGTAAATATGCTTTAATTTCTGAGATTTTCATTAAATCTAATTTACAATTTTTGCTTCACAAAGCAAAAACAAAATAAAGATTTGAAGTGTAGAAGTATAAGAAAATATACTCAGGGAGAAGTACAGAAAAATAAGATAAATAGACCATGATAAGATTTAAGGGTATGACTCTAGTTTTGACAGGAGCAATTTTTCTTCTCATTTTCTGCTTTAATAGCATTAGTAAATCTTAGCAATTTGAGGAAAACTCCTGAAGTGATACTTGTCGATCTCATATCTAAAGACTTCTACTAATTAGTGTTGCTATTGCCTACCTGTAATATCCTTTGTCTTTAACTGCAATACATTGTCTTCCACAGTTCTTACCTGTATACCTTTTTGCCAAGGTATTCACTAAACCAATCTATAACCATTACTGCACATCTTTCAATATGTTTTTAATAAATGATTCTGAACTCATTTGCTTATGTTTTCTAGAGCCCCTTCCATAATGCAATAATTCTTAGTGGAAGAGACAAACATTAACCAGATAGTCACATACATAAATTTCTAATTACTGACTGTGTTTAGTAGTATGAAGGAAAAGTTCTGGTTACTGTGAGGAAGAAATTCAGGGGTTAGAAACACAGAGAAAGACTCCACAAAGCTGTTCAAGTGAGAAAACACATGGGAGGAGTTAACCCCACAAGATTCTAGCCATTCTTTATTCTAAATCATTCCTTCTGGTTGTATTGTTTTGATACTTGAGAGATGTTTGCTTTGTGATTGATATTATTTCAGATGATTTTCTAAAATACCACTCTGCAAGGGTAAGGTAGTTATTTTATATCTTTTACAGTGACAGAGGCTCTCAATTGGAGTTTGATATGCAAGAATTACTGTTTGGTAATTATGATATCATGCCAACGGACTACGGTGGAAGACTGGGTGCCTTGATGATGGATGTGGTATGGCATCATACACCCGAAGAAGTGGGGTCCTATATTTCTGAATCATATACAGTGCTGCAAAACAATGTTACCTTAATTTTAAGATACTATTTTAAAAATGTGCCACAAAAATGCTGCTGAAAAGAAACAAACACAATTTAACAAATAAAATATAAAAAAGTCAAAGCCA